CTGGCCGTAACAGTTTTTAAAAGTTGGTAATATCACTTGTCCTTTTGTAACAGATCTAGTTGAATGACCACTTCCAGAATTTGATTTGGGCWACAATGCACAGAGAGTTCCATAATTGGCACCTTGGAAGATCTGAAAATATAAATTAATACCACTATACAAAACATAACATCTTGAGGAGGTGCAACCCTTAAAAGATAAATAAAATACCACATAAGGATAGATGAGGGAAAAAAATATGATATTATATCATGGAAAGTGACACACTATGGCAGGGGTGTCAAACTCCTGTCCTCGAGGGCCACTATCCTGCATGTTTTAGAGGTTTTCCTGCTCCAACACACCTGATTTTGATCGCTGGGTGATTAACAGGCTTCTGCCCAATTTGAAGAGTTAATTCAATCACTGAATCAGGTGTGTTGGAGCTGGAAAACCTCTAAAACATGCAGGATAGTGGCCCTCGAGGACTGTAGTTTGACACCCCTGCACTATGGTATTTGTAGAAACAACCTTCTGCAGAGCAAAGACTGGGATAGAGTGGAGGATAAGGAGAGGGTGGGGGGATAACACAGGTAGCTACGAGCGAAGGCATTGAGAGATAAAGGAAGTGTATCTGAAGCCATGAACTCTTGTATGCACGTGTGAGCATCTGAAAATAAAACCGTCTGTAACCAGTCTCCATACAGCCCCGCCCTGCCACAGTCCAGAACAATGATGTTATTGTTTGTCTGTTTCAACCTTCAACAATGCTTCCAGGTAGCAGTTCACACACGGGAGGTGGGCCGAGCGTCAGTCGACCAAATATCCGTGGAGAGTTTGATATTACTCAGCCTTCAAGGCCAAGTAGGGGGGTGCCAAATCAACAATCACAATTGTTTTGGAACAGGCTGACACAGAAGATTTGCTTGAAGCTTTTAAAGTCTCACTGAACTCTCAATGGTGAAAATTCCAATCAGACAAATGTGTTGGTCAATCCTCATCTTTTGTCCTGGGCTCAACCTCACCAGGGTCTATAGATTCCCACCAGCAGGCTCTGGAGCCACAGCTGGTCTGTGATCCACCAGGACAGCATCCAGATTATGGTTCATCACAGTGCCTCAGATTGTGTGTTGACAGGCGGACATAAACCATCACAGAGTGTTGGCAGTCTCCACAAGGCTCGAACAGCTGCCAGCACTTTCCTTATTTCCTGATAGACCAGATATCCACCTCCTCTGACTGATAGAAATCCAACTATTAATCCAAATATCCAAAATCTTCAACGTCCTCAATCAAGAATTGAGTCAGGCTCATGATCCTCCACTCACCCCACGAGTCCTGCATGTGCCCCGCTAAGTGTTTTCAGGACATGAAGGGTCTCCTTTTCCCAGCTTCAGTGTAGAAACAATTTGATCAATAGCATTGAGAGACCAGCTGACCAGATCCAGAGTTTCTGGTTTAGGTTGGTTTGTAAAGGAGGCTCAAAAAAGCAGCAGAGCAGGGTAGACAAGGGAAGGCTGAAGAGAGAGGAGAAAGTGTCTGCCTTCACCGAGAGCAGAAGAAAAGAAATGCATACAAGTCACAAAAAAACTACAGCAAAAACTGAACAGGTGACCCAATGACCCAAACAGAACACAAAAATAAAAACAGCGGGTAAAATAAGTATTGAACACGTCACCATTTTTCTCAGTAAATATATTACTAGAGGTGCTAATGACATGAAATTTTCACCAGAT